ACACACACACATATACACGCACACTCATACACACACACACACACACACGCACACTCACTCACAGACACACAAACACACACACCACGCCCACACACACACACGCGCACACACACACACACGGGCCACTCCATTCACAAATAACAAAAAATCTGGAGAACGGAAACCGTTGGGAGAAATAGAGTTCAAGTTTATTTTCCCGAGCATTCGGAGAAATAGAGCCGGCCTTATTATATTTTTTTATGAATACTAAACAAGCAGAATTTACTGGTTGCATTTAATCTAAAACTACTGGCCACCGTAACTCTTTTTTTCTCTCTTCAGCTTAACCCTATCCGTACATCGTGTTTATTATCGTATCCATACAACGTGGGGAACTGTGCCACCACTTTCCAAAGAGGAAATTTACTTGTTAATCTGATCCCTACGCTTTGCATAGCAGTCTGTCAAAATGATTTTTTGAGAAATACTGAAAGTTTCAAATAGTAATAGTATCTCTAGATCTTCGTATTAGAAAGATCTAGAAGTATTCTTAATGTGAAGAATACAACTCCGGGGGTACAAAATGATCCCAGGTCGTACAGATATGGTTAATTGTCACACATACACATGATATGTTTTCTAACTTCAGCATTCTCTAATAAACGCAGAGACAAAATAAGGTCTCTGACAACATATGATTAAATGAAATAGTAATCAAAAGAAAGGGGCATCTTACAACTCCCATGGCACTCCTGTACAATTGTGGTCCTGTTTAGGGATACTCGTTTTGACCCCACCAACGATTACTTCTGGTTCTAAACGATTACTTTTTGATGCGCGTGCCGATAGGCGTGAGGAGAGATAGTCAATCAAACCTAATTGCAAAACATCAAATTATTGTAAAATTCAGGGGGGGCATGCCCCCTGAAACCCCCCTTGCCTTGTTAAATAAAAGTGAAATTTTACTGCTCATTTTGTAGGCTAGATTTAGATCTAGATTCTAGATTCTAGGTCTACTGATAAAACATCAATACCGAATATTTTAAAAAATCAGAATCGATATATCCAGTAGTCTGCTTGTGTGATTTAGTTCTAGATCTAGACCTGGGGACCGCAATTGTACAGGAGTGCCCACCCCATGGCATACAGAGAAGAAAGAAAAGGACAAGATAATTTAAAAGGAAAAATATCAACGACACATGCAGACATAACAAATTGCTATTCTTAGTCTAGATTAAGTACCCCATCTCTCCCCACCCCCCTCCTCACCCCTGTACGGAATTCTTTCAATAGGTCTATTAGATTGTTAGACTCCAACAGCTCATATAAATTTGCATTTATTTTCACTACTACGGTAATTTAAAGAAAAGGACTATTTATTAGGAAGTTTTCACAAATTTTCATGCGGAGAGAGAAGGAGAGAGAGGGAGGGAAGGAGGAAGAGAGATAGAGAGCTTAAGAGAGACAGAGAAAGGCATTATATCATAGAGTAGAGAGACAGACAGACAGACAGACTGGCACACAGAGACAGAGATCTAGATCTAGAAGATGTAGATCTAGAATCTATAGATAGATAGATTATATAGATTCTACTGTACTGTGATTAACAACCTTGAGTCCTGCTTAGCCTTAAGCAGAGTTCTTGACTAAATTAAATATCTCACCGGTTTCACCCAGTTTTCCAAGTAGGCCTACCTAGACCTACTTGTACTCTTGCCGCAGACCTGCACAAAAACTAAAAAATAAAGAGCAGGCTACCGGTACGAGTTACCCTGCAATGTTAGGCCTACATTCGGACAACAAAATCAAACATGAGCCGCTGCAGCCTAAAACTTAACTCTCTAGAAATCTAGATTCTCAGTCTAAGCCAAACCTTTTGTGATTTCCTCGAGAATGAGAGACTTGTGGTCATCCGAAAATGGTTCACCAATAATAAGGAGCAAGGCTGCACCAGGAGAAGGAAATCCTTGATCATCAGAATCCATTCTGCCTGAGGTGATCACCTATCCAAACCAAAGCTTTCTCACTAAAAGCACGAATGATCAAGGGATGTCTGCTAGGAAATGCCGAAATCTCAAAGCAGAGCATAGTACTGTGAACCACTTTTCCTGATTGGTCGATGAGAAATGCCGGCGTTGGTAATAGCCAATGAATTTTCAGATAACATATGCATTTTGGCTTCTTTCCGGAGAAAGCATCGGTAAAACACGGAAACGGGCGACAAGGTAAACAACCGAAGTCCTGAGAGCCATCAGCCTTTAGAAATCAATCTGAATTTTATCAGTTTTGATCATATTCAATATTAATTGGCCACTGTTAAACTACCCAATTAATCTCGCCCACTCCTTTTTTCTGAAACTGGAGTGTAACCTGAACTAAATATCCAAATTGTGAACAGTTATTGTTGAAGTTGACAAAAGGATATATTTTCGATAATCATGACGCAGGGTCTGTTCATAGACCTTACACAGTGCCTTACTTCTGCTGAGTAAATTTTTATCTCACATTACTAATATTGCAGAATGGATCTGATCTATAACTTAGACTTTTGTCAGTCTAGTTAGGCTTTTGCTAGTTCGATCAAACGAGACGTAGATAGACCTTTACTAGATCTAGATCTAGATCTAGAATCTAGTGCCATATTTAGGTTAGGCTACTTTATTAAAGTTCTGTGTATAGTTTATAGTATAGCCTACCTACTACTACTGTCTGTAACTCAGTTACTGTACATTGCAGTTACTAACTGTAGTGAAGACAAAGATTGTGTGTGTTGAATGTAACCTAGATCTAGATCTAGATCTAGTTGTTTAAGGGAAAAAGCAGTCTTGAGTCTAAGGTAAGTTTATTCACACTGCCACAACATACCTATGCTATAGTACAAGACCACCACAGTAGGGTGAGGAGAAAGAGCATATATATGTAGCCTCTACCCTTGACTTGTTTGTAATTGAGTAGACAACATGATGACAGTCCTGTAACTTGTAGTTGTAGGTAGATCTAGATCTTTGAGCCTAGTGAGTTACTCCTCAGATCCCACTGCTGTAGACTGTAGATCGAAAGTCTTTGCACAGGCTTCTGTGTAGGCCCTATTGCTGAAAAGCAGATACCTCCATAAATAAAAATGATAGACTGACTTGATGTCAAAGGCAGTATAATGTGGAAATTCTGCTCTGTATTCACCCATCTTAACATAGATCTAGATCTACAATACATTATTTTGAACTACATTACAACCTTTTTTGTCCCAGCAGAGGTGCTGCATCGGGTTCTGGAACTGTGACTAAATCCTGACAACAGTTCACTGCTAAACAGAGATTTCCGAGATGGCAACAGAGCAAATGGATATTGATGACTCGCTTTACAGGTATACATGAATGAGAAGGTTGTTTAGTAATATAATATTACACAGTGGCTACGTTCACGGCGCCCTGAATGCAGTTTGCTGACGCTGTTAAGGCTACGTTCACGGCACTCAAGCTTCGTTTAGATGAAGCGTCCACTGTTGGTTTAAAATTAAGCCAGTTTTAGTCAGTGACGACTGTACATATTTAATATTTTGGCCTGCTTCAAGCATTCCATCCCATGAGATGAAGGAAAACGAAGCAGTGATCCTTGACTGATCGACCATTCGTTGTTTTCCCTTACACTGAGCTCAGGCTCAGAGCTGGCCAGTGTAAGGGAAAACGACAAACTCTCAATTACGCAACCGTGCATTGGGATATATAGTATATATGTGACAAAAATGTATACGCCTACCAAGATGTTTCAATTGCCCTATCTCGCGCCTGGGCGAGACTTGGGCACGACCATGTGTTTTTTTCGAGTTGAAAACGTGCAATTTTGTCTGCGGGCAGGGTGTGTGTGTGTGTGTGAGAGAGAGAGAGGGGGAGGGAGAGAGAGAAAGAGAAGATGGGGGGGGGGGAGAGAAAGAGAGAGAGGGGGAGAGGAAGAGAGAGAGGGGGAGAGGAAGAGAGAGTGGGGGAGAGGAAGAGAGATAGAGATAGAGAGAGAGAGAGAGAGGGAGAAAGAGAGAGAGAGAGAGAGAGAGAGAGAGAGAGAGAGAGAGAGAGAGATTGAGAGAAACAGACAGAGACAGAGACAGAGAGAGAGAGGGAGCAAATGTGCATCAGCATGAAAATGTGGGACAGAGTATGGATATGAGCATCACTTACATTTGTCCTTGTGTTTGGATACAAGAATTTGAGTGTGTGTGTATGTTTGTGGACACACAAGTGAGTGCACAACTGTGCTTGTGTACCTGTTCATAGGTCACACTCCTGGCTACTCACTCACCTGTTTGACCTTCATGATGTTGCGCAGGAAAGCCTCTTCCTTAGAAGCCGGTGTGAGTTTCCTGAGTTCAGACAGATTGGTCACCCATGTCTCGCCGATTTTCTGCAAAACGTCGAGGAAAAAATATAACATATTTTTCAACATGTCAACATTGTTCAAAAGTTAGTTGATACTTGTATATACAGTCCAACTCATGCAAAGGAAAAGTGATCATAACTCAACTCTTTTAATTTATGTAGCCGCTTAGACTTTTCTTTTCCTAGGGTTTATTTAAAAAAAAAAAATGCATAACAGTATAGTTATAATAAAATTGAAAGCAAAATTACGGGGAAAGTAAGTTTTACATCTATGTCAGCTGGATTCTGATAGTATTATTTTATAACACAGCCTTGCAATGTCTAAGCATTTAAAATTCAAAGAGGAATTGCAGAATAAGTTGAAGAAACACTTTTTAAATTGATGAGCAATATCTCTTTATTTAAGAGGAAAGAGATGCTTTGAACATAAGAAAAAAAAAACCCAACTCATAATACATACTACAAGCTAGAGCAAACAAGACATGCTGGTATTAGGAACAAGAAGATGGGTTGAAAATTGGTCAGCTGTAGTGCACTTCCTTAAAAAGATGGGGAGTTGGAAATTCCAAGATATAGCAACTGTACTTTTTCCTAAATGCAGCTATTCCCCCC